TGGGGTTCTGTGAAGACAGTATTTCAAGGAATCTGTGTAATTATGTAAAATTTCAAAGTAACACATTTGGAAAATAACTTGAGTGAGACAGACCTTCCATTAGCATCATAGTAGAATCCTAGGTTTTAAGTCTCTATAAAAATAGTTAAATGGCAAATAAAATGCAATGTCAGAGACTTAAGTGATGTGGATAATGTGAACCCATGATATTGTCTGCAGAGTGCAGGTCATGAGATGAGGCAGAAATGTGGAAATAAGCTAAGCCTAAGTTAGAACAGCCACCAGGAAGTTTTTTACCATGAAATAGACTATTTCTTATTTGCTGAGGTTTTCAAGGCTGATGAAAGCATGGTGGGGGGCAGTGTCCCCCCTCCCCACCACGAATGCATGCTTAATTTTCTGAATCATTTGATATAATTTTGTTTGCAATGCAAAATATTGAAGTCACAATTGTAATGGTTAGGTTTGAAGTAGTACATTGTGTATATTAAATAGTATTTTTTAAAGACAATATTGAGACAAGTAAATAAGCATCCATTTTTCTCATCCTATTAAGCTGATTTCGATTTAAAACTCAAAAGAACCTTTTACGGGAAAATGCATGGAGAGGGTCTGCAGTCTGTCCCAGACCAGACTGAATAAATCTGGGTGACTTTTTGTCTCAGAAGTTTTTAGAGGTTATAAGCTTCATGAGCTCCTTTGTGCTTGCTACTGCAACATCTACATCTTCTGGGCTTCTGTCAAGAGGGAGGGTTAGTCTCTTTAGTTGTGGGTATACTGTTCTCATCTATACAGCTCTCCAATCCTCCCCATAACATGCGAGAATCTTATGTTTCTGCTTGATTCCATTTCTCTTTCCTTCTACCCACTACGGTACATAAGGTTTATGCTTTAGTTCAGCAAAACTATCCTTGAAATACTGGGTGAAAAACAATTGCTTTAGAGTAATAATTTTTTTCCTTCCACAAATTTAAAACAGCAATATAAAATCAATTTAGTTTTCAAGATAGAATCATCTATATCTCACCTGCCCACTTTAAGTTCAACTAGAAGAGATGTCAGCAGGTTCTATGGGAAGATGGGAGAAGTGATCTCCTCTCTTTCTCTTATACAGGGAGTAGATGATCTTTGTGGCAATGGTTGAGGCTCTGAGGCTGATACTGCTTCTTCATGCCTCCACTTGCTGATGTGTTGAGACATGCGGTAAATCTTCCTGAAGCTAGGAAGGCTCCGTGTATAAGCAGAAAAGAGTAGAAAATTATGTAGGTGCCTTTCTCCCTTTTTCCATAAAGCAATGGTATATGGCTTCTACTGTGTCTGAGACTTTTCACAGCCATAATGGAAGGCTCAGGGTTTATCCTTAAGATGTATACACTTCCAAAAACTACACTTTTACGTGCTTTCCTTTTTCCAAGGTGTTGGCAAGAAAGCCAATCTGAATAATTAAGATTGTAGTAGGTAATGAATTGCAAATGAAAATAGAGGTAAACTGTAAGAATTTCTTTAAATCAGGATTTTCAGCTTTTGGTCTCTGAGCTATTCTTAGTCCATGAAAGTAAGAAAACCAAGCGTATTATCAGTGTGCTTCCACTTCCTATGTAGAAGTCTCTGTCTTGATTAGGGTATTTCTAAGGGGAAGAATAAAGATAATAATAGAAAATGCTGTGAAGGTAATAACATTTCTTTGATTGGTGGTGTTTTACTTCTCTTTTCCTGTTGCTTTCACAGGCATGTGAAAGTTATAATGTTAAATCAGTATGTGAACATTATTATTAAAGGAGAAGTACAGAGAAGTTAGCCTCCCTTTGGGTGAGGGATGATGATTCCCTTTTTTAGTAGGGCTCAATGGTAAGCATTGGAGTGTGAAGCAAGATGAAAGTGTTCTCTGATTTGAGATGAGAGCTTCGCAAAACTCCACGCAAGTGGAGAAAGGGAGACAGACCACAACTAATAAACTCTGAAAGGCAAAACAAGTACCTAAAAATAGGTATAGGAGACATAAACAAAAGGCTAAGTAGGATATTAAGTGACTCAAAGGAAGAAGCATAAATTACTTATTTATCAGACTGTGGCAATGGTATCAGTATTGATATGATGTAAGGGTAACCTATACCTGTATTTTTGTGGATCAACAAATCTGTACCAACCCCCACCACCTGGCCATGTGTCAGGTCTGCTGAATCTAAAAAGATTTGGTTGCATCCAGTTTAAATTGACACTGACAGTTTATGATAGTAATCTTAGTTTTTCACCAGGCCAGATTTTTTTTGGGGAGGAGAATTGTATCCATCTAGAAGACAGTTGCTTCTGCTCAGGAGCTGCCATGAGCCACTGGAAGGAAAAGGATCTTCAGGTCTTATTTCATGCAAGATCTTCTTTGAAGGAGCTACAGAACTTCTTTAGGAAAGTACAAATATACAAGGATGGATTTCTCAGAGTGCATTATGAGTGTTGTTATTTGGCCAGAGGATGCAGCCACTTGAGAATTAAAATAAGCAATTGCATTGCCCCCAGTCATCATGAGATATGGCTTTTATTGATCAGTGCATTGAAGTTGAGATGGCAGCAAAACCTGTACCTTTTCTTTTGTGGCACACGCTGTGGGTCATCTCTTGAATGCTGGATGACAACTGAAAAAGGGGTCAGATTTGGATACTCATGATAAAATGTAAAAACTTGAAAATGCAGATTAGCAAGTTACATCTGGTTCCTTTAAATTTGTGCGACTTGGAGCTGAATTCTGGAAGCTTTAAGAGGTTTTCATGGCTCGAAGTTGGATCAGGCTTTTGCCTCTAGAATTAAAAATATTCATGTTATTTTATGACTTATGTGATCCTGAAATAGAAAAGAGTTGCTAGAATGTAATTTTGTATCTGTGTCTTCCTAAATTGTTAATACCTATGTTTTCTTACTGTAGTAGGTGCCCCTGCTTTTGTTTATGCATACCCGACTTGTCTGTACCTGGCAAAAAGTGGTAATGTTTTATGACAGAATTGCTGGTCTTAATATAGCTTGTATGGAACCGTGTTATGTTAGCTCGTTTGATCCATTTTGCCAAAGGCAATGTTTGCATTGAAATTAATTACTTCTAATGCAGAAGCCTGGGTGCAGTACGAAGAGTTCAGTGTTTCCAAATTATCAGTGTTGAATAAATACCACACTCATGTTTTTGTCCAGCACCCATAGCGATGTTGTCATCAATGTTTTAGTGTAGTGCTGTGCCTTCCTCTTCTGAATCTTGTGACTCTTGACACAAGACTCTTGTGGCCTCTTGGAAAGAGGTGAAAATTCAGAAGAATGGCCACTGTTGTATAATAGTAGTTGAAACAAGTTGAAACATCTTGGCTAATTGATGCATACTGGTAATTCAAATGAAACAATGCTTTTAGATTATGCTAGCTATTAAGCTTGATGACAATGTAGTCTATACCAAGCAGCTCTTAGAATACATATAAGCCATGTGGTATATGCTTGTGTGGGATAATGAGGGGTCAGTGGAGAACTTGGCATAATGTTTTTTTGCTGACATAATTAGCATCCATAATGTTTTATGCTAATATCATTGGTGAGGATTTAATATACTAGAGCTTATTAGTAAGTAGGACAGGAAATCATCCTTCTGTCTGCCCCTGCATCAACACTTTTTTCACAGCAAATGTAGAACATTATTTCTCAGCATTTTAAAACATCTGTATCTGTAGATAATGAAGATGTTTTGAGGGTATGGTTAAAGATTACTGGATTTGACTGAATCCAAGTTTTGTTCTTCCTCAAGTTGCCTTTGAAATAAATGGTGCTAGATCCAGTTAGTGACCACCAATTTAATTAATACCACAAGCTTATTGAAATGGTCAGATTTGTTAAAAAAAAAAAAAAAAAAGCCTGTGGGCCTACCTAATCCTAGAGTCCTATGTTTATATTTATGCTATGTAAAGTTAATAAACTTACTTAGAACTCGGCAAATGTATAATGATATTGAAGAATTTGAAAACAGATTATTGGTCCACATTTATCTGTTGTTTAGTTAAATAAATTACAAGGATCAAAGTAATAATATGATATCCATATGAAAAAAGAAAAACTGTATTTCACAGGCATTCCTTTTCTAAATTAAATCCTAGATTGTCATGCAACCTTTTCTTGAGAAGCTTAACAACAAGTATTAGCAAGCTAGTACTTCATTGAATAAATAATACTGTGTTGTAACACGTTATAATTGTTTAGGAGATATTCACTCAAATTAGTGTAGTTTTATTGTTAATTTTTCTCACTAAAATATGCTTGTACTGGCTACAGCTGAACAATTAAAAACACTGCTTTCTTTGTCCTTTTTCATACCCCAAAGCCTCTCTGTTAATCCAAACAGAAATTAAAGCCCTTGCCTATTTCCTTCTTCTGCCTTAATTAATCTAATATTGCTAGGGACTATGCAGAACTGCTGAATTGTTAATTTTATACTGTCTTTTGAAAATGTAGTATCTTAGTTTGGGTAGTTCTTAATGTCAGCAACAGCTTTTTTTTTTTTAATTCAACGTAGTCAGTCGTTGAAGTCCATTAACATACCAGCTAAGATATGTTTTGGGGCCCATTGCAACATAAAGCTTGTTAAACTACATCAAAATGTCAAGATGTTTTCTAGAAAGAAAGAAATAAGCATTTTTTTCTTCTGAATGAAATTAGTTTGAAAATGCGTTTTTAACTAGTCATCCTAGATATAAAATGTATAGTAAATCTTATTTTAAAAGTAATTATTCTAGGAAGTGGGCTACTTTTACTTTCTGATATATGCTGATTGCTTGTAAACTTATTTTCTGAGATGAAAATTTACTTAATTTTTATAATATCTTTTTTTCAGGTCTCTGACTTTGGAGGAACAGTAGATTTTTGCCTACTGGAAGAATGCAGTGAAACTGCCAATATTTCTAGCTGGAATTACAAATTTAATATTCAACTTTAGTGTTACTAATTTCTTACTAATAGTACCTCAAAGTAGAAGAAAAATGTATGGAAGTGCAAGAACAATCAGCAACTTAGAAGGAAGCCCCTCCAGGTCTCCTCGTTTGCCAAGATCTCCTCGCCTGGGCCATAGGCGAACAAATAGTGGAGGAGGAGGAGGAACAGGTAAGACATTATCAATGGAGAACATCCAGTCCCTTAATGCAGCCTATGCAACATCTGGACCAATGTATCTGAGTGACCATGAAGGTGTAGCTTCTACTACTTTCCCAAAGGGCACAATGACTCTTGGAAGGGCTACAAATCGAGCTGTGTATGGTGGTCGAGTCACAGCTATGGGGAGCAGTCCTAATATTGCTTCAGCTGGACTTTCACACACAGATGTCCTTTCTTACACTGATCAGCATGGAGGTCTGACCACATCTTCACACCACCACCACCATCAGGTTCCTTCTATGCTGAGACAGGTTAGAGATAGTACCATGTTAGACCTGCAGGCTCAGCTTAAGGATCTACAGAGGGAGAATGATCTTCTCAGAAAAGAACTAGACATTAAGGACAGCAAGCTGGGATCCTCCATGAATAGCATCAAAACTTTCTGGAGTCCTGAGCTAAAGAAAGAAAGAGTATTGAGGAAAGAAGAAGCAGCCAGAATGTCAGTTCTTAAAGAACAAATGAGAGTTTCCCATGAAGAAAATCAGGTAAGTAATTCTGAAAGTTTCTTTGTGTTGATTTACAGCTAAGCACCTCATGTTTGCTTATGATACTGTATCCTCTGCTGGAACAAGTGTGACATTTACAGCAAGAATTCTATGTCTTGATTTATCAGCCTCTGGCTGCTAAACAGTAAGAAAGCACATTAATGAAAATCTGAATGCAGGTTATGATTTCCTTCATGCAGCATTCTTTCACATTATAGCTGAAGAGAATGATTGTCACTACCCGTTTTCTTATTTTTGAGGCTTTCCCTAGAGTTTTTTGCAACAACAGTGTAAATATACTGAGCAACCTTTTGTGAAGAGGTAAATGAGCCACTTCTGTGAAAGTATATATAAACATCTACAGGTGTTTTTTGTGAGCTGCATAGGGATTTAGCTGCCTATTTTTTTTAAAGTTAAAAGAAGATATGGTATTAAATCCTCATATGCAACCTTCTGTAACTCTATGTTACAGAATGAAGTTGTGGTTTCAGCAATGTTTCAGAAACCTGTCACTTAGGAAAAGAGCATCTTGTAAATATGTATTTCAAATACTTCTATTAATAACATAACATAACATTCTTTTCCTAAAGTTCTATAAAGATTAAAATATTTTAATCTGGATGAATAAAGCTATAAGATCAAGCTTTGAGATTCTGTGCCATTTCACAAAGCTACACAAAGCTGTGGCACAGAATAGATCAAAAAATTCTTGTATTGCTGTCTCCGCATACTTTTTGGCTGTTGGTCTTATTTTGAAACTGCTCCTTTTTAGACCATCTGTTAACTTCCCCAGACAAAAACACAATCCTGTGTTTCTATCGCTTCCAGTTTCCCAAGCTAAACTTTGCTGGCAGGCAGCAACAACTGAAATTTTTAATTTACTTCTGAGTTTGTGATCATCAGTGCTTCTCACCAAACCTTCCATCTCTTAGGCATGCCATGAACCTATCTATGGAATTAAAAAGCTTGATACCAGTACTTCAGTGGGAAATTGGCTGGGTCTTGGTCAGGAATTCAATATAGTGAATTAATTTATTATTTTCTTGTATAACTTATGTATCCAGACTGACAATAATAGTTACTGAATATTTATAGTGGGTGCACTAGGATGCTGCTAGAACCAATATCAAAAACATGTCTGGTGGAGGTTCTGCTATTTAGATGCCTTATCTGCTATTCAAACTGGCTCTTCAGCAGTAGGGGGAATATTCTAATACACTCTGTTTTGGTAGCCTTTCTTACGGAAATGTCACATTAATATCTTGTATTCGCATTTGGAATCTGAATCTGGTATTTAGAGACTTTGGCACCTGCCAAAGTAGTTAAGCATGGTTTTTTTTCCCCTAAAAGCCATTTCCTCATCTTGAGGGGAAAGTAAATTAGTAACTCTATCATGAGTCCTCCTATTAATTCATTTCATAAAGATTGTATATTTTTTTTAACAAGTGCTCTTATTTTCTTGTAAGGATGAACCTAACAAAAGACAAAAAGAACATATTTTTCCCTATCTATATATTTAACATGAATCCTTACTCTATAATAAAATAACATAAAGACTGGGTAGTCCAGTATTCCATTGCTAACAACATCCACAAGTTTATAGAATAGAGCTAGTATACAGTGATATCTCCACAGAGTACTCTCTCTGATCCAGCTACAGTTCCTGTGTGCTTAATTCTCAGTGGACTTTTCTTTTAGTTAAGCCAGTTGCTTTTGGACCTGTATAAAATTAGTGTCTACAACCTCTTATGACAGTGAATCGCACAGCTTAACATGTCATGTGAAGAACCACTGCTTTTCATTTGTTTTTGCACTAGACTTTGGCTGCTCTTGCTAGAATTTCCTGTTTCTTGTACTAGAAGAAACATTAAATAGTTAATGTCTGGTGCTGGTCTCAGTGCCACCTACGATTTTATAGAACACTGTCATCACGTCCCCCCTTCAGGTCTTTTCCAGAAGACAGGCAAATCTTAGCATGTGTGATAGTTCCTTTCATGACTGACACTTTGAATCTTCTCTGAATCTTTTTTAGACCTATTACATTTTTTTAGGTGAGGAGACCAAACCAGGCCATGTTTAGGGACATGGTTTAGTGGTGGGATGGCAGTGTTAGGTTAACGGTTGGACTTGATCTTAAAGGTCTTTTCCAACCTAAACGATTCTATGATTCTGTGTCTTTCATAATACAGGTGTGAAATGGGTTATGCATTGATGTTATAGCATTTACCCTTGTAATCTGTATGTCTCTTCCAACAATTCCCAACATTCAATTTGTCTGTTCTGTCTAGCTTTGGATGACCTTTTTTTTCACTGCTACTGAGTACTGAACTAATATTTTAATGGAAATATTTATCATAGCTGAAGAATCTCACCAGTGGTTATAATAATTTTAGATCCCAGCTTGTTATGTGTAAAGGTGGGATTATTTTCACTTGTGTATAACTTCACATTTATCTCCCTGAATTTCATCTGTCAGCCCTTGCCTAGTTGCTTTGTTTTATAAAATCCTTCTTTGCTTTTGGCTTTGGCTTTTGTCTTTACTGCCCCAAATAACCTAATATCATGAGGAAAATCAGTTGTCTTACTGTTCACCCTGTTCTCTGGGTTGCTTATGATGTGCCAGACAGTACAAAGCCCAGCCACAGGTTCCAGCCAAACTCCACAGGGGCCTTCTGTTGGTTTGACTTGACCATGTGTTTCTGCTATTTCCTTTCTTGTAATTAAATATTTATGTATGAAAGGACCATCCCTCTTATCTAATTACTGCTTAGCTTTCTTGTAAGCATTTAGAAAGGAGCTTTTCTGAAGGAATGGCTTTAGAAGTCCAAGCTGGCTGTGTCAGCTAGTTTGTCAGTCTTACTTAGCCACATGGTTATTGATTCTTTCAAGCAACTAATTTCACTTAAAATTATCAAAAAGCTATAATTTTGAAGACAAAAAAAGTGATGCCATCTATCACATCTGTACTGAAAAGTGATAGATCCTTGTGTGTCTGAGGGTTACTGGTTTATGAAACTTAAACTAAGGTGTTTCTTACTGAAACAGTAAAAACTGTTTTCAGATTGTCTGTGCGTGATGGAATTGACCCTGAATGAGGCCCTTAGTCTCATAGCCAACTTTGGGAAAACCCAGGAGACTGGAGAAGGGCAAATCTAGCTGCCTGCAAAAAAAAAAAAAAAAAAAAAAAAAAGAGAGAGAAAAAGGAGGGGGAAGAGATGAATGAGTGAATTAAAAGGTTGATATTTTTATTGCAGTTTCTGGAAAAATAGTGTAAGAACAATCAAAGAAAAACTTGTAAACTGTAATTATTTGGGTTTTTTTTTAATATTAGCTGCTTCTAAACTATAAGGAGTATAGGGAAAAATGTAAAAAAAAAGACTAACACTTTATATATATTTCTCAAAAATAATATCAAACAAGTCTGATTTTCTTGGATTACAGGAAAACAGGCTTTATGCATAAGGAAAAAACAGTAGGAACATACTGACATTAGCAAACCTTTTTATGTTTTCTCAGAAATTTTTCATTAGCAAGCTGGTGGGAAGCATATGAGATGAAATTACTATTATATGGATGCCTATCTGATTAGAAGATTGGGTCAAGGTGTAATTATCAATGATTCATGGTGAATTGGAAAGATGTCTGGTAGGATCTGATAGGGATCTGTCATGTGTTTGAGGCTTTCATCAGTATTTTGAATGATGGGTTTGTATTATGCTCCCAGATAATGTCAAGCTGGGAAGGGTTAAAAACATGCTGGAAAACAGGATTATAAATGGAAACAAATTGGAAAGTCTAAGAAATAGTATGAAAAAGTAGGATGCGTTTCAACAGAAAATTGATAAAAATCAAACCTTTTGGAAGCAAAAAGACCCATGAAGAAGGTTATAGACAATAACATGCTCATTCCTGATTTTCTTTTGAAGATTATTTTACTTTTGAAAAATGTATGCTTTGAGCACCTTTTCTTTTGATATTACAACCCAGTTAGTTGTCTTCTCTTTCTATTCTTTCTTATTTTTTGTGACACATTTTCTCACAGCACTATTAGTATCATTCTATATATGGTTTGATTACATACACAGGGGCAGGAAGTACTCTAAATATTTTAAACTGTTTAAAGTGGTTCTTCATCTTGGAATCATCCATTTACAATTTCTCAGACTTTACATTTTTTTTTTTCCCCCAAGGTAAATAGATGTTCTCTTTAATCTTGCTTGAATGTGTTATATAGAAGAATTAATGTAGAAGGTTTCAATGGAGGGCAGAAGGCTGAGGTGGAAAGAACTGGTAGGGCAGGAAATTATTCAGCAGTATTCATTTCCAGGATTGTTGCCTGTCTGTCAAAAAGAGAGGGAGGACTAGCCTTATCTATTTGGGTTAGCTGGTTCTAAGACAACATATATTTATCAGTTGACAGGCTGCTTTTATGACACTGCAATAACTGTAGATTTACTGTGACATTCTTAAAATAAACTGTAAACTCAATGGCACAAAATAATGCCCCTTTTTCCTACTTATAAGTGTCATTATTTAATACTACATAATTTATACAAAATGAACAACTGTGTGCCATGAACAGTGGTTATTTTTAATTCATGATGTGGCTATATTATGTTGTTGGAAACAAATGGTGAGTTTGATACTTTTTTTTTCCCTCTTACCGAAACCTAGGTAATTTTAATTGGCTTAGTGTGTTCTTTGAAAACATATTATAAATTTTGATCTTCTTTTGAAGTTTAGTTCCTGTTCTGATACTGCAGGAGTTTGCTTCTGATTAATGAAATGAAGAGAGAGGATAAAAAGGATAGTGAACAGTTCCTCTGAGACTCATAGTTTTGAATACAAATTGTTCCTTGAAATAATTTTTATATCTGTAGCAATATGAACAACTCATAGATGCTGTAATTAACAGAATAGAGCTGATAAAATAATCAGTAGATAAGGGTATGTGTATTCATGAAGTCAGAACTGTGAGTAGTTACTCAATGTTATTTCAC